TGGTCCCGTGTGCCTGCAACTACAATTTATGGGTTCATAAATGGGCACAGAATGGATAATAGGTTTTATAGAGAATAATGGCCTTGCTAAATCTGAATGGTCAAGTTAGTGAGATCTTTTATAAATAATATTAAACAAGTAAGGCATTCAATTTAATCTGGTTGCATGATCAAATAGGAGTGAAAAGAAAACACAAAAGTAGCTTTCAGTCAAAATACATGGAAACTACTTATATAATATGTATTTTCATGGTCTTGCTAATGACCTGTAAAAGCAATGGCATAAATGGACTCAGTATAAGACCATTTAAAATTAAACTAAATATTAGGAAAGTATCATTCCTTAACAGCCATTAGCTTGTAGAAAGCTATCTACAGAAAGCAATCAGTTTCACCACAGATATTTATTAGATACCAATTACATATTTAAATGATATGTCTTAGTCAGTGACTTGCCAAATTGCAGAGCGTCACGGCAGCTGTCATATTTTCCCTTCTGCCTTAAATTTATGTGAGTTTCCTATCTAGAAACCTGTGTTTCCAGACTCCTGCAGGTGGAAATGGGGGGAGTTGAGAGCAGTAGCTGATCTCTGAGTGGGCTTTTATGGAAGGTCTGTACTCCAGAGTGCTCTCCAGAGGGTGTAAGAATTGAAACGCCCAGACAATTATCTCACAGAGACCTCCCTAGTGATGAGCAGAGGGATTAAGGGCCTGCTACTCTGCTTTTGCCATGCTTGAAACAGTCTTTATACTGAATATAGCTGGCCTTCCTAGATAGGGAAAGATCTCATTCTTTGTATTTACCGATATGAAAACCAAAGTGATTGATTCCTTTTAAAATTAAAATACTATAAATTTAATTTCCCTTTCATTTGTTCCCAGCCACATGTGCCAGAAGGTAAGTGGTGTGAATCTCTTTGCCATATTACAGTGATATGATTGTGTCCCCCAACACTGCTGGGCTTTCTCAGCAGCTGAGAATTTCCTATAGCAGTAGGGGGCTGTGGTCAAGTAGATCTGCAGGTTGTGGAAGCAAGACAGAGCACCAGGCTGTTCCCCTTTCTGCCTCAGAACAAGAGAATGGCTTTTCCCTCCACCATGCACCCAGAGGCAGTGTGTTGAGCAAAGCAGTGCTGCACAGGAGCTGTGGAAGTGTTTGCTACCATTACACATGCAAGGCAGTCCCTTGGAGGGGCCCATTTCCTTACCCTGAACTGTAAGAGATTGCTGCAAGAGAGACTGCTCATCTCCCCCGAGCGAAAAAACCCAAAACAAAACAGAACAACCTGCTTGTACGTGTGGCATGTAAATATCTCCATAAAATATTAAACAGCCATTACAACATGGCCAAACCAGTCACATTTGTTAAAGCAACAATACTGATAGGCAAGATGTGGCTTTTTTTAAGTGACAGCACATTCTACCTTCTCTCTGAAATTTCCTTTTCAAACTAGCCTAACAGAGTGAAACAGCTCAATGAACATGTCAGCATGAAAAAAAGTGAAGCACTGCATGCAAAAATTTACGGTGTGCAATATACATGGGCCCCAGTCCTTGACAGAACTCCTATGATGCAAGACCAGGCTTTAAAGTTCACCAGGTAAAATGGAAGTCTTGTATTCAACTCAGACATGCTGCATTATCTGTAATATAAAACAGTTTGAAAACTTCTATTTTGGAAATTTAAAGCATGCACTGGACATGGGATGGACAATAATTCTATCCAAATTCGGTGGGGGTGAAAAAAAAGGAAACAAGAAAATAGACACATACACTTTTTTGCTTTTTCTTAGCTTTAGCAATTTCCATTGTCTTTGTTATTATTTATTATTGATTTAATATTATTTATTGTTGATTTTCTTAATGTCAGTCAAACTTCTGCCCTACAAGAAGCCTGCCCTTTCTTCTAATGAAACTAGTTCAAGAAGATACTATTCACTATGTTGCTTGTAATTTTTGTTTAAAGGGGGTAGCAGAGTGGGATGGGGCAGGAATGAGAAACTGACCTGGAGTACTGTGGGAAATGGGAGCTTCCTAAATTGGTACATTCAGCATCTCCTGAATGACTCAAGGCCACACTTCAAGTGCTGGGTCCAGCTGTGGGTGCCTCACTTCAGGAAAGACAGTGAGGTGCTGGAGCATGTCCAGAAAAGAGCAATGGAGCTGATGAACAGTCTGGAGAGTAAGTCATACAAGGAGCAGCAGAGAAAACCGGGGGTGTCTAGCCTGGAGAATAAAAGGCTCAGGGGAGACCTTCTCACTCCCTATAGCTGCCTGAAAGGACTTTGAAGCCAGGGGAGGGCCGTGCTCTTCTCCCAGGCAACCAGGAACAGGACAAGAGGTGGTGTTGGGTCATAGGTCAGACTCAGTGATCTTGGAGGTCTTTTCCAACCTAAATGGTTCTGTGATTCTGTGTGACCCATCATTGAGAGAAAAAGAAGTAAAAATAGACATGAAAATGGAGATGAAAGGGCACACCCCTGAGGTAATAATTGTTTTGGGGAGAGGGGAGTCAGAAGGAAAATACACAGATCTATAGCTATGATGAGGGAAACCTGTGGTTTGGACTGAACCCATGGACAGGCTGGAGGAAGGATGGAGAAAAAGAGAGGGAAAATCAAGAACAGTGTGTGCAGTGACCTCCATTTACAGAAACACTAATGGCCCTCAGCATGGACCAGTTCTTCTCTGCACGTACCTGCACTCAGTACTTAAAAAAGCAACACACCAACACATACACAGAATCCCCCCCAAACAAAACTTCCATCTATTAACTGCAGAGCTCCATTACCTACCCAGTGCTTACAGAATGCTATTTTTCAGTTACACTATAATGAAAAAGACCTTCCAAACCTACAATTCCTCTTAATATTTTTTCCGAAGGAAATCACCGACAGATAAACGTCAAGAGCTGTTGGAAAGGTAAGTAGCGCTAGCACAGGGAGATAAGAAGCGATTGCAGAGGGCTCGGTATCCTAGCAACATCCCTTGCAGTTGCCTAATGGCATTTTGGAAGAGCGGCGGCTCCAGAGCGGCTGAAGTGAGGGAAATGAGGGGCTGGAGCGCAGCGGAGCTCCGCAGCCCGGCCTGAGCGCCCGGCACTGCCGCTTCCAGGCAGGACCAGGCAGGCGAGAGCGAGGTAACGCGTGGAAGGGCGGGTGGGCAGCGCTGCCTGGGGCATTTCCCCGCCGGCCGTGCCCGCGGAGGCACCGCGGAAGCGCCGTGCCGCTTACCGACTGCTGGGAGCTCCGGGGAGCTGCCGCTCTGCGCTGCCCAGCCCCTCCCGCGGCCCCCCCTTTCCCCGGGACATTTTTTCCCCGCACTCCTCGAAGTCCGGGCGGAACCACCGCGTGCGGCGGACAGGCCGGCCACCGCTCCTGCGCTGCGGCTCCGGCCGGGGGCGCCCGCCCTCGCCCACCGGGAGGCGCGGGCGCTACTAGCGGCCTGGCCCGGCGACGTGGCCGCTCTCCCGGCGGATAGGGAGGAAGGAGCGGATCGCCGTGACCGCGCCGCGGGGACAGGGCGGGCGGGGGCGCCCCGCTCCTCCCGCGCCGGGAGCGCAGCGGACGCGCGCGCTGCCACGCGGCGGAGCCGCCACCGCCGCGGGAACGGGGTTAAGGCCGCGCGTGCCGGGAGAGCCCCGCCCCCGGCCGCTCGCCGGCCAATGAGCGCTCGGCGGGGCGGGGCGGTGCCGCTCCCGCGCCCGCCCCGGGGTGGTGCGCAGCGCGGCGCGGGGCGGCCGCGCGATGGGGCCGGCGGCGGCGGCGCGGGGCGGTGGGGCTGGCCGGGGCCGGGGCCGAGGCCAGGGCCGGGGCCTGCCCTGCGCGCCGCCAGCGGGTACCCGCGCGCTGTCGCGCGGCTGAGGGCGCACCGGGGCCCAGCCGGCCCGAGAGGTGAGGCGGGCTGGGCTGGGTCGGGCCGCGGCTGGCGGGGGCGTCGGGTCTCGGGGGGTAGCGTCCCGCCCGCGGGGGCGACGCGGAAGAAGAAGCCGGGGGTGCCTTCACTCCGCGGGGATGGGGCGGGAGGAGGTGGCCGGGGCGCTGCGTGTCACCCCGGCGGCTGCAGGGACAGCAGGTGCCCGGCTGCACGCCCGGGAAGGAAAGGCGCCAGAGCAGGGGGCTCCTTGGAAAGCGCGAGTCCCTCGGAGCCCAGCGGAGGGAGCAAGGTGCCCGGGGAGCCGGGAATCGCTGCTCCCGCCCCCGCAGCGGGGACTTCCTGGGCGGGCGTCCCTAGCGAGGCTGGGCTGGGAGAGGTCTGGGAAGCCGTGCTTCGGGAACGGGCACTTGTTGCCGAAGGACGGCGTCAGCTTTTGGAATGAGGAAGGAGGGGCCAAATCTTCCTTCCAGCTCACCGGTACTGTGGATTGTTACACGTCTCGTTTCAGTGCAGTTGTTGGCCTCCTATGCCGAAATATCTTGCTTTGATGGTTTGTATTTTCTGGTAGAACAAGCAGGAATTAGTTTGAAAGAAATGCTAACAGCATTAGATATTTAAAGTGGAATGATACGATCCGTGCCTAGTCGATAAGGCTCACAGAAATCCTAGATGCGGACAACATTAGCAAATGCACAACTGAAATGCAAGCATTTCAGAGGCATGTGAATATACAGAGCAACTAGCAATGAATATGACTTAAGGAGCAGAAGGCCTGTTTGCACAGCTAACTAGGTTTTTTCTACATTTTATATATTAATTATTCTGATGTGTTGCTTGACTGTTAAGGACATAGTGGTAGAGATCAATTTCATTGCTAATTATGCAGCTCTCAAAGGACATTTACGTTGTTTCATCATGGGGCCTCAGAGCTTCCCCCTTGATTCCTAAGTAAGGGATGCAAGAAAGAATCAGCTCTGTATGTAGCTTTAACTGAATAGAATCTTAAAGTGATTATGGAATGATAGTGGGATAAATGTGCTTAAAATTACAGTTATATTCTGCATTTTGTAAATTGCAAAATTCCAGATTTGATAGCTGGGGGGGGTTGTTTTTTTATCATGTTTTTTTGGGGTTGGGGTATTTCTGCTTGTTTTGTATTTTGTTTAATGTGTTTCTGTACATGGTCCAAGTTCGTCCAAGTTTGTGTAAAAGTAAGTTTAAAAGTGATTGGGTTTTCTTTTGGTGGTGGGGCCAAACTCTTTCCATATATTCGTATTGCATGTTTTCTTTCCCTGAATTTCCATTGGCTTATGGAAATTACCTTAAATGAGCTGTTTATTGGAAGAGAAGGGTGAGAGCAGTAATTTAGATTAACATGTTCAAAGGCTCAGCAGTAGGATGCACAGAGGCACAGTCTCATCAGAGGAGTGGGCCCCTGTCTCTGTCACTGGGGAGCCACCAGCCCCATTGCCCAGGTGTGACATGCAGCAGGATAAGTCCCCAGGAGACTGTCTGGAACAGCTTACAAGATCGAAGGGTCTAACTGCCTAGAAAATAGGGATCGTATGGGATGCAAGAGAAAAGCGTCTTGTGGCTGTACAAAGTTACAGGGTGCTCCTGCGAGGGACTAAAGGAAGGTGGCTTGAGGAGGAACAAGTATGGGAAAATAAAAGGATGAGATAAAGAGCCTGGTCAGTTGGAAACAAGTGACTGGTCAATCTGTTTGACTGTGTCCTGGGCCAGATTGCCACAGCTTGTCCTCTTTTCTCATTAGGGTGCCTTTCTAACTGTTTTGCTGGGCGAGAGGACTCTGTGCCCTATTCTTGTGTGCATACTGAGCTCTAAGTGCCAGCAGCTGGAGATGCATGTAAGTTGTAGGGACTTCTGTGTCTGGTGTGCCAGCAGCTGGAGGGACTGGAGTGAGTGAGGGCCTAAATGCCTCGCAACTGGAGTGGGGACTGTGAGCCACAGAGGCTTGTGTGTCTGCAGTGCCCATAACTGGGGAGAGTGGAGTGCATGAGTGCAGTCTTGGCAAGGATGCCAGTGTGTGGTTGCTCGTGAGTATCACACAGGGCCAGCCAGTGGGTAGGATTTAGAGGCTTGGGAGCCAGGCTTTGAGGCAGCTCTAAGTATGGGACATGAACTAGTGAGATCAGAGGGTCATCAGTTTGGCAGAATCTGGGGAATCTGAGGATTCAGGGTTGGTTCCTGAATAGGTTGAGGGTCTGAGACCAGTTACAGAGGGATGTGTGTATGTATATATTCCCCAGTAGCAGACCTTAGTCCTGGGCAATTATGGGGAGGAGCAGCATAAGGCCAGGCCATATTTGTGTCTGCATGAACCCTAGTTTTTATCTCTGCTGATCTGTATGGCCAGCCATGTGTGTATGCATCTTTGCATGCACAGCTATGGGAATACATCCTCAGCCTGGCTGGAGCTGGGTACATGGAGTTGCAGCGACCTTGTCATCAGTGTGCTGCCATGTTCAGTAAACCCTAACAGAGGAAAAATTGTTTTTCTGTAAGCTTGAAGATGTAGAAATTGTTGACTCATGAAACTTAAATTTAGAACCAAATCTTCAATGACTTTTACATTGTGATAGAATTTGAAAATATCTGTTGGTTTGATTGATGTGAATACAGCTACCTACATGAATGTCTAAATATCTGTATTCATTTAAGCTTTTATGGTAGAGCAGTGGAGCATAAACTAAATTCAAGCCTTTTATTGTAGGTATTTTTTTACACAGTGTGTTTTTTAACTCAAGAAGTAAAAACAGACATTTCCTTCTCTGAATGTCATAGACTCATAGCATCACAAAATGGTTTGAGTTGAAAGGGAGAAGGGAGCTTTAAAAATCATCCAACTCCTTTTAAGTCCAACCCCCTGCCATGAGCAGGGATACCTTTCATTAGATCAGGTTGCTCAAAGCCTCATCCAGTCTAGCCTTAAATGTTTTGCGTGTCTTCCCTCTGAATAACTCTGTGTGTAGAAAAGAATACCAACAAGGAGTGGGGATGTTTTATCATCTGGCAACTGACCTTCCTTTTAGGCATTTTCTGGTTCTAGTGTAATGCTGTAGTGTTCAGTTATTTTTGCTGTGGAGTTAAAAGGCTCAATGTATGTGAAATGTCTTGATATCATTAAAAAAATGAAAAATTCTGTCCTGTTTAATGTTGGCGTTTACAAACATGTGAATATGCACCCACACACGTTTATAGTGACCCATTCTGTTGGTATAAAATTGATAGAATGATAAGCAGATTATTTTAGATTGAAAACTGTAACTGGAGGCATTTTGTATCAAATATGAAGTACAGCTACTACCTGCCCTGAGAAATCCTCTTTGTGTGTGAAGTGCTGCCAAAGCAGCTTCTGATTTCCAATGTGATGAATGCACCTTTTTCATTTTTCAGCATTTCCAGCACATTTAATTTTTTTCTATAGAATTCTGTTGTAGATAATTTCATAGTTAAATGAGCAGCAATTATTTTCAAATTATTTTCATTTTTCTCTCTCCAAGCAAGAGCAATTTTAACAGCTGTTGCAGCAGATAACTGAAATTGTATGGCAGAGAGACACCTAATTTTGAAAAGTAGAACAATGGAGACCTTTTCTTCTGGAAGGTGGTGTAGCTATGCTGGGTAGCTATACCCATGCATGGGTTTGTATATTTCCCCACTTTGAATATACCAAAGGAAGGCATTGTTTTATTTTGGCCATCTCCTTATATATATTGCAAATTTTGAGGGGACTTTGCGGTGATAGATGGGGAAAGCAAAAACAAAAACAATCTTAGTACAGCAGATCTTTTGCATTGTCATAGGCTGCTTGTATGCATGAGCTTTTTGATAAAGGTTAGTGGTGTAAAAGACAATATAAATAAAGCTGGATACAAAGTAATTTTTTCAAGGCCTGGGTCACAAATGATTATACAGTCAGTTTTTTACTTCATGATGTCATATCTAAAGGCAATCACTTGTCTCCACCAAGATGTAGTGCTGAATTGAGGGAAGACATTGTGCAACTAAAAATCGTATAATGTGCTTGTTCATATTAAAGAACTACAGTTCCTTATCAACCACAGTTATAACAATTTAAGTTTTATATACCCTGTACATTTCTTGATTTTTATTTTGTGCTTCGAGTTGTGTTTTCGATTTTCGTTCCTTTTTCTAGCAGCATGGAAAGAAAAGCATTACCACATGTGAGAGCTGCTTCACTCTCAAATGGTCTTGATCTGCATGTGTACAATAAATCTGATGGATTTCTGCAAGTGCCAACCTAACAACATGCACACCTGCATTCCATCCTTTACTTTCCCTTCAGGAGAGAGGAAGAGCAGACAGAAAGCTGGAATTTGGAGTGTGTGTTGCTGCCCAGTGATTCATGCAGCTTGCTTGGGGACAGCCTGTTTCCAGTACGCTGCCCAAGCAGTGAGAGGAGGGAGTGCAGGCTAAATGAGTTGTTTTGGTGGCTGCAGCTCTTCTCTGATCGATGGTTTTCATCGATGCTCTGTGCAGTCCATAATTTTCTTTTTTGGGCTCCCTCATGGACTAAATTGGGTTCTGCCCACTGTCATTAATAATGATCCTCATGGAGGGAACATCATTGACTTGTTTGTAAGGCTCTGGCTTGAATTCAGTGTGTATTTAATAGTCAATGTTTTTGTAGTGTAGTCATGAATTATTAGAAAATAGCTCAACTTTTAAAGAAGTAATCTTTTTCTGAAGATGAAAAACCCTCAACAACATTAAATTTGTTTTCAAGTGTTTAATATATTAAAATTCACACTTGTTTTTGATGCAGACTCCCTTTATGCAGGCATAGGTAATTTGATTTCATAAAAATGGTCAGCCAAGTCCTTTAGTTTTTGAGTAGCAAGGGTGTGGCTGATATGAAGGGGTATTTTTAATACTGGAATACAAAGTTTTTGAAGTGTAGAAGAGGCTTCAAGGCTGATGTACGTTCTTCTCTTCCTTTAAAAAAGGAGTGTTTCTATATGAAAATTCAGATGTTGTCTTACTCTTTTTTCTGAAAGTCAGTCCTCAGTAACCTAAAAGAGTAAGGACAACTGCCTTACTTTGGGAGTAGATTTGCTTTTATGAGTCTTTGAAATCTGCTTGTGATTGACATGTGTTAGGAATTCCCGAAATATACATTTGGCTGGAGTTTTAAGAACATCTTGTGGCTATCTTGTATCTTGACCTGTAGGTTGCCATTGATCATCATCTTTTAGCTTCATAAAAGGCTTAGGTATTACATTTTGAAATGCATTTTGGAGGCTGAAGAGAATAAAGAAGTGTACATATATTACATTTTTATAAAGCTAATGCACTTCAGTGTATGCATTCTTGTTTAAATGTTGTATAAATATAAATAATATGTTTTTTATGTACAGCCACTATCAATGGATGTACAATTTTATATTGATATTTGCATTGCTCTTGTAATTAAATTTCTGTGCAAGCCCAAGGGAGCTGAAACTGAACTAGAACTGAGTTCTCTGCTTTCAGAAATTTAGTCCTTGATTTCTTCCAGTAGTTTTAGATTTGATTTCTATGTGAAGTCTAATGTATTTTTCATTTGGTTTTGGCAGTGTCTCACCTTCAGGAGATGGCCTCTTCTAAGTCTTTGATGAACCTTCTGACCTTCACTTTTGGCTCAGCAATAGGATTTTTCGTCTGCTATCTTCTATTTAGCATTATACTAGAAGAGCAGGTTAAGATCCAGCCTCATGTTCTTCACAATGATCCACACGGTCAACACTTAGCAGATACTGACAACAATCAGCTGCAAGGACAAATGAATTTCAATGCAGATGCTGGACAGCATAAAGGTATTTTGTTACACCTGGCTGATTAGCAAATGGCCTCCCTTTTCATGCATTGCAAAACACTGCTTCTTCACTGCCAAGAATTTATACAAATCATTTTCATTCAGTTTCCCCATGTTCAGGTTACATCTAAATAACTTTTTTCTCCTAAGGTCTACTGAATGGTGGTGGTTTTCTTTGTTTACATTTTTATTACAGCAAAAAGTGTAAGCAGGAGTATTTTAGTACCACTTATGCAGATTTCACTGTCCATGAAATATTCTTTTAGATTAGTTAAAATCTTTCTGTATGTATCAAGTGAAAATGTTTCTTTGAGAACAATGAGACGCTTTGGTAGCTTGAAAAACATTGTTTCATACTTCAGATAACTGTGTTTATTCTTCTGGACTGCTGCAAATAAAAAAATGTTATCAACAATAATAGTAGTTACATAGTATCGTAAATAACTTAATCTGTTAAATTATTTCTGGTTTACCATTGGCTTTCTTCTTAAAACATATTTTGTTGTTTTAGAAAATTCATTAAGTTTTGTTAGTTGACATGAATATATATTAAAGAGCTTATTAGCTTTTTGGCCTTTCTGTGTTCTAGTGATTCAGTTGTATTCATTGTGAATGGCAAAAATATTCTCTTTTTGAATTTTCATTAGTCTTCCAAGACCATAACGAGGTTGCCTCCAAGTAGTTTTTATGTACAAATCAAGGTTTGCTAAAGTCAACACTTCCCTGAACAGACACCCTTTTTGATATGACTCTTACATTCTCCTTTATCTTATGAAATTGAAATAGCTTTAAGAATTTTAATCTTTGATAGTCTTGCTTGTTTCCTTCCAGAATCTAGCATGGAGTTCATTCACTGGTACATACGGAAGCAAAAGCCTCTTTTCTGTCTGCATGTCTTTTCTCATCTAGAAACAGAATATCTGAGGAGGGGGGTGATTACTGTTAGTTTGTTTGGCAATCACTTCTAATATGGTTTTACAACTTTCCACTTTTTTTTAGATGAGGATAAAAATATTGCAGAAGGACTGTATCACAAGGTGAAAATACTGTGTTGGGTCATGACTGGACCTCAAAATCTAGAAAAGAAAGCCAAGCACGTTAAGGCCACTTGGGCCCAACGCTGTAATAAAGTACTTTTTATGAGCTCTGAGGAAAATAAAGACTTCCCAACTGTGGGCCTAGAAACCAAAGAAGGCAGAGACCAACTGTACTGGAAGACTATTAAAGCTTTTCAATATGTATATGACAATTATTTTGATGATGCTGATTGGTTTATGAAAGCAGATGATGATACATATGTTATATTGGACAATTTGAGATGGCTTCTTTCAAAATACAGTCCTGAACAACCAATATACTTCGGAAGAAGGTTTAAGCCTTATGTGAAACAGGGCTACATGAGTGGAGGAGCAGGGTATGTTCTGAGCAAAGAAGCTCTGAAGAGATTCATTGCTGCATTTAAAACGAACAAATGCACTCACAGTTCCTCTATTGAAGATCTGGCACTAGGAAAATGCATGGAGATCATCAATGTGGAAGCAGGAGATTCTAGGGATACAAGCGGTAGAGAGACTTTTCATCCGTTTGTTCCGGAACATCATTTAATCAGAGGATACCTCCCAAAAACATTCTGGTATTGGAATTACAATTACTATCCTGCTGTAGAGGTGAGTCCTGAGGAACCTGGAATCCATTTTGTCAAGTGCATCTTATGATGTGTTTGAGCATGTGATGTGTAAATTAGCATTAGGAGGAAGAATTGAAGAACAGGATTTGCAATATTTTACATATTAAAGCTGGGGAAAAAAAAGTCTGGTTCTTCAGTAGATTTTTCTCATTGTAAAGCAGCAATCTATTTTTATACTTGTGTTCAGCAGCTAAAGCATTTCTCTAGCTTAAACCAGCTGTATGATACTGTATTTAGTGTGTCAGGAGGCAGCAGCTTTAGCTAAGGCTGCAGTGCATGAGTGGCTGAGCTGTGGACAGTTCTATCTGTAACTGATTCATAATGGAAATTGCCTGTGTGATCCTGTCCTGTTATACCTGTGCTTGGGTAGACACTACTTCGTCTGGTATCAAAATCAAGCTATAGTGATCAAACTTAGTAAGTATTGAAAGAACAATTACATAACAATTGTTCTCTTTGGTGTCCTTAAATATTTAATCTTAGTTCCGGTTGGATTTGAAATATTACAAAGTCTGCAATCAAAGCTGCTGAAAAAAGAAACTCCAGAACTATGCTCCAGTAAAGAGGTCTCAAAGCTGAATTTGAGATATAAAATATAAGTCATGACAATGTGTTAACAACGATCCTATAGCTCTTAATAATGTCAATGAAATCAAGACATTAAAAACAAAATTTTGCAATTGCTTGTTACAGCTTTCTATCAGTGGGAAGTTAGCTAGTGATAATACTGCCAAACTGTATAATATGTCAACACACGCAGGTGCAGGTACACACACATGTTGCTTATACATTCTGTCTGGATGCTCATGTAAGTAAAACGTTTGTATTGTTTCATATATAAATATAACTTGTTTAGGTCTGCTTGCTGCTTCTTGGTGGTGTTTAAACTCTAGCATCAAAAATTAAGTATGGAAAAGAGAAAACCTCTGACGTTAATGAGGGCAGCTAGCTTTTTCACTGGCTTGATCACAGAAGCAAAAGACTTAGTCAGCTTTATTTTGGAAGGATACCTTGGCAGATATGTCTGGTACATTTTGCTTGCCTAACATTAACTTTTGAAGTATATGTATGACTGATGGTAGTGAATTTCTTCCCATTAAATCAAGTATTTCTTTGAATTCTCCCCAGATCTTTAATCCAGGGCATGCTTTGCAATTCTTGCTGATTGTTTTACTTTGTTTTGTGTTTCAGGGTCCTGGATGCTGCTCTGATCTAGCAGTCTCATTCCACTATGTTGACTCTGTGACTATGTATCATTTGGAATATTTGATTTATCATCTTCGTCCATATGGTTATTTGTATAGGTACAATCCTGACTTATCAAAGAATCCAGAAGAGCAGAGCAAAAATGAAGCACTGGAGGATAATCAAAAGCTAAAGCAAAAAATTTCTGAGAGCTAATTGGACTTTGAAAAAAACCAAAAATAAGCCAGTACAATGAGTAAGAGTCTCTTCAAACTTGTGCATGAAACTTGTGGACTGAAATCACTCCTGGTGATTCTTATTTCAAAAGTCAAGTTGGCAGCACTTCACGTCACCCTGTGGACAACAGAGTCTGGTGCTGGCTCTGACTGCTTGGCATAGGGTGACCTTGCAGCCCTGCTTACAAAGATTTGGGGCCCTAAAGCTGTGAAATTGGAGGTTGCTCTGGTACAATAATATCTGGAAGAATTTGTATAAAAATCATAGTGGACAGGTTCACAGATGATCGTACAGTATTTCTGATCCTTTTTCTGTTCTCCTCTCCTTTCCATTAAGTCAGTTCTAATATAAGAAATTGGATGCTGCCCAGTCAAACACTTCATGATGCCTTTCTGAAGTATTCTCAACATCTTGAAGTTATTTTGTGTACCTTGCCCTAAAAGTAAGGCAGAGACATGGAATTAGAGTCTCCAATCTGCTTTGCCTTAACAACAGTGGCAGAATTTCACCCACAACATTTATCTGAATTGTTTCAGAAACAGAATTCACTGCTATGAATTACTTACAAAGTTTTCAATTCTATAGTGCAAAACAATATGAAGTTCTTGGGGAGGAATATCTAGAGAGAAACCTGAAACAGTTACTGTTGTTTAAATTGCTGAGGTGATGCTAGCTGCTTACATATTTGCCTGTGGCTTTCCCCCCCCCCCCTTTTATTAACTTATTCTTTTGGTTGAATGGATATAAAAAATCATCTTAGTATTTCTCAGCATAAGGTGATGTTTTTGAAAATCGAGGTCTGTCTTCCATCCCACCTGCCACATAAACCAGGAAGAATAGTATCTTAGTGAAGTTGCATTGTAAAAACTTGGTTTCAGCCACTATTCTGATTAGTTTGTTTCCGTTTTAATTTTCACTAGAGATTCAAATTTTCAGATACAGAAATGTCCTATTTTAAGACTGCACAAAAGCCAGTTTATGGTTGAAGTACTTAATTTCACTCTTCTGAACATTTTTTTCTTCTACTTTAAAAAAAAATTCTGTATCTGCTTCTTGTTATCTTTTTCAGTATAAAGCGTTAAATTATTCTTTTTTCACTGTTTTTGAAGCCAGAGTATGTAGTTATTCAGGTAAGTAAGCCTGAATGCAGGAATCTTTCAAAGTGCATTAACTTTTTCCACTACTTCATAAGTATCTCTGCTTTTCAACTGGAAACACTTTCTTGGTGTGGGACAAAATCAGTGTTTTAATTACTGATTTTTTTTTCCAGAGGACAAATGTATGTTTTATAGAGTTAATATAAAATTTTCTGGTTTTCTCCTTTTCAAATTGAGTGAATAGCAGTATGGGGAATGGGAATTTAAGCGTGACATGTAGTGTTCTTATTCCACACTTGAACAAAAGTTTCTTCATCTTTGTGTTATTTTTCACCTTCATCATATTGATGAATTTGGACATAACCTAATTACCTCCAGTCATTGTTTTGAAAAGGGCACATAATGGTAGCAGACAGCCTTATTTACTACTGCTGGTCCTTCCGGATGTTCCTGGAGGATGATGTTACCATAAAGTACTGGATTTTTTTTTTCCAAAGATATTTCCTAGTGGAGATTGGAGTTCTTTCTGTTGTCCGACAGTAAAGTCATGATTTGCTTTCTGACCATTGCTCTGCAGCACAATGGTAATTACTGAAACAGCTCATGGTGTTGAAATGCTGCATACATCTTCTCTGCCTGAATATAGGCAGAGTTCCTCTATCAAGCATTGATTAAATAGTTCCTGCAGGGTTAAATCTGTTGGTCTTTATGAGCAGCATTGCTTCTGAAGTACTGATAGGGACACGAGCTTTATTTTACATTAATTAACTTAAGTAGAACATGATAACTGCACTGGTTTAAGCAAGGAAAAAGTTTCCAGTTTGCTGTAGTCAGAGGGATGCTTGTCCAGAGGACAGTGGATGTTAACATGCTGAAAGGTGCTTCCTTCTGTGAACTAGATGTTTATCCCACATGCAGCACAAACCAATCATGTTGTGAAATCCATATGGAATTGGTAACTCCAATGGCATTGTTCAAACAAGCTGTTAAAATATTCAGGAATATTTAAGGAAGTTATAAAATGAAATCATGATTCCAACCTAATCTCTTTGTAAATTCAGCCCATGTAGATCTGTTGAACTACTGTACAGTTCCTTTATTTCTGCTTTCTTCAGTTCATCCATGGGGATTTGAAGATTTTCTACCACAACAGGCAGAACTAATCCTGCATATTTTCTGCAGATTTGTGTTGTATGTTTGCCCTGTGCTGTCCTGTGAAGCAAAATAATTTCCTCTTCTTGTTCCTTACTGTCCAGACTATCCTGTCTCTGGCTTTCCAGTTTCATCCAGCGTAAGTCTCAGGTGGACAGGAGGAAGCAGGATGTTTGAGCTCCACACAGGTTGTTTGCTGGGGTAATAGGGTAAACCAGCCACTGCTGAGCTCAGGGTGAAACCTTTTCTCAGCAGCAGTTCTAGTTCTTGTCTGCTGCCCAACTGAGGCTTGTGAGTTTAGCAGAGCAGGGCAGGAATATCCCTTTCCACAAAATGTGCAGGACCTCAGAGAGACTGGAAAAGTAAAAGGAGCAAGTTCCCTTTCTGAAGGGAATAAGGCTAAGGACATACTACCTTGTGATAAATGAGTGGCCTATCCAGAGAAATAAGTAGCCTTTTCTTCAAATGTCCATTCTTTGTTTTAAAGTGTCCTTGTGCATAGGTCTCTGAATCTATTTCTTTTGCCTTTATAACAGCACTGCAAATAATTTTTTTCTATCCAGACAAGCTAGAAAAGTATCTGGTTTTACCTTCTGTGATTATTACAGAGACCTATTGTTCTCTGATGAATTGTATTGCCATAACCATGAACTGATACCTCTGGAATAATTGGTTTCTATCTCACTGCCTTCAGAAGCCTCAGTGGACAAGGTTGGAATGTGACCAGTTAGTGTAATTTTCATGTACAATATTACACTAATGTTAGTAGTCTGCTATTTCACTCTCAGGTCTCTGTGCTTTGAGAAAGTATTTATTGAGTTTGAGAATTTTCTGCAGCCCAAGGAGACTGTATTTCAGATGGAGAGACTTCCTGAAGCACGGCAACGTGGGCTTACTTAGGCCATGCAGATTATTGCTCTATGGCTTGGTTTCTAAAAGAGGTTTCTTAATTTTATAAAATGTAGAAGCTTTCATTGGCACCACAGTGATTTCAATAGCCCATCTAAAAATTCAGAACTATTTTCTTGAAATTACTAGGCAGTGGATGTAGGAATATCCCCTACTGGGACAGAGTAACACTTTAATCTTGTATTAAACGGTTTCACTTCAGAAAGATTGAGAATGGCAAGAAGTTACTTTCTGATCACTGTTCTTAATCAGAGGAGAGTATTAGTGTTTGTTTGCAGAGGAGACTATTAATCTATGATTGCAGAAAAAGACCAGTTTTAATCTTCTTTCACTCCCAATTATTTTTTGCAGTCTGTGTTATTTAAAAGGTTACATGCTGGTGATATTTATACTATCTCTCATTTTGTGGAAACTCTTTTCATGGTAATTTTGCCTTTAAGGACACTCTTTTTGTTTTGCTTTGTTGTATATTAAAAATCACTTTCTTCAGCTGTTGCCATTTGTTCTGTTATGCTTGCAGAAGTATAAATTTCAGTGAATAGCTGATAGATGTCTTTTAAATGCTTTGTTATCTGAGCAGGGTGTTTTGTCTTTGTATGACAGAAAAGTGTGGGTTATTTCTCAGCTGTACCTGCTCCTGATGCTGATAGTGCAAGCACAGATAAAAATAGACCCCTCAATACAGGACCACTGGGAAAGGCAGTTTTGTCCTTTTTCTGTCAAGAAAACTTCTGTGGAACTCCAAAAGTATAATTTGTTTTGTTTTATCATACCGTATTTAAAATACTTACAAATGTTATTAATAGTCTAAAAGAATTGACTATTGCTGCTGGACAGTATACTCCACTTAATACCTGTGAATGTTTCACTTTTCAATTATAGGTAGTTGTGTTCCTAATGGCAGATAAAAGTCGGTGATTTGTCTGGAATGGTCACCATAAGGATTTGTTTCTTAAATACCTTCTTTGAAGTGCCTTTGACCAATTTTTAGCATCAAAATTAAGTTGAGAATTGAATAAATAAAATAAGTTATCTCATACACAGTTCCTGTTTGTCTTCATTTACCCTTCCTGCATGCTAGTGGTGTTGCATAGCAGCACAGTTTAGTCTAACAAAAATGTCCTTTTTCTCTAGGGTGAGTACAGGAAATTCAAAAAGCTTTTCTCACTTGTTATGATTCTATGATTCTATATGCTATTAACAAAATAGAAAGCTACCCAGAAAAAAGATAGTAGATTTTTAAAGTGTAAAATGAGTAAGTGCTAGTACCAGATTCACGTAAGCAGGGATCTGTTTCTGCATTGTCCTGATTCTTCAGTGTCTCTGTATTATTACAGGTTTCTGAGTGAACTGACTACAACTGATACCTCAGAAACAAAGCAAAACTGTCCAAAATTAACCACCTTTTTTTTTTTTAAAAAAAAGGAAGAATTTATTCTTTCAGTGAATCTCTTATTTCTGAAAAAAAAAAAAAAAAGACTGTTAAGATTTAAAAGTTGTGCTTTCTAACCTAAATGTTTGTGCAGAACAAACTGCATTCAGCAGTAAAAGTCCTGACACTTAGGCAGCTGGGAGGCGTCTTTACATCTGGAACTCTGGTTGTTGGACAAGGTGTCGGCACAAGCACAGTACAGCTGTGTGTCATTACCTTAAGTACTGTAATAGACCCTGCTAATACTATTAACCTGGATTAATTAATTGTTTCATTTCAAAGTGCAGGAAACGGGTGACAACCAGTTTAACTGAGCTCAAAAGCTGGGATATTTAAGGGAACAAGAACCAATTGAACAGACCATAAAAGCTCCTCTCAAGTTTCAGGCAAAGGTTATGTTTTTATGTGGTGCTGCTGCTGTAACTTTCAAATTGTCAGGATCAGACTACATCCAGCACATTGCAGGGCAATGCAAGTGCTGAAGCAAAGCAAAAGCTACAGCTGCTACTC